CTGAGTTGCTGGAGTGATAGTTCAGCTTGAAGGGTTCAAGAGAAGTGTCGGGGGAGGTGTGTGTTGAACCTCGCAAGGTTACACTCACCCATGACCTCCGGCACTTGTGTGACTGCTGTGACTTCAGTGAGCACCCAGACTTCTCTGATCTGAATGAGCGGTGTGACTTTTGCGAGGCGAGTGATGGCTGAGACTTGACAGATGTAAGAGAGTGTTGTGAGCGAGTATGTACGGGGGTTGAGGTGTCCATCGTCACCAGTGTAGTGATGCTGATATCGTCGTACTCCCTTATACTCTCCATAATTGTCTCTTGACGAGCTAAAGGTGCCTCCTCATCGTCTACTGATGCTTCTCCGTCTTCACTCCCCAGGCCAGCATGATCCTCTACTTCACTTGACCTAGATTTATCACAATCCCCTACACACACTGCACTACCAGCTATCGCTCGTCCTCTCAAGGACTTCCTTAACAGCGGTTCTGATACATCTGGTTCACTGTCAGTTGAGGCGCGTCGCTGACCCGGAATAAATGTTGTCATTAACATTCTGGCGAGGGATGTGTTCGAGGGTGAAACACAACCTTTACTAAATGGTTGTAGTTGTTGGTTCAGCTCGCACCTTGTAGCGTCGAAGCGTGCATGTGTATTGTCAGTGTGAGCGTCTATAGTGTCTCCCAGTGCTGGGGCAAGACGGTCAATATGACTCGTGGCGTGCTCAGTGTGTTGCAAGGATGGATTGTCCAATCCAGCCAGTGAATCGTCAACCACAGTTTCTACACTGTGACAATTTTGCTCTCCGCAACTTGGTGTTGCCATGACAGTCTGCTGCAAAGCAAGAGACGTTCCATAGTCTGGGTTAAACCACACTGATGCATCTCGCGTGTCCTGAGCTTGGTGGTGAGGAACATGATCAGGGTCAGCGCCAGGGAGAGAGAGTTGTGCATGTGTCTGCTGGTGTGGCTGAGAATGTACTGCCTCACTCTGGGCCAGCAAGTAACCCCCAGCTTGTACGTAAACATTTTCATAGGTTGGGTGCATGCTAGTGCTGTTATCCACGAACACCACATCATCAACACCCAGGATAATGGCATTGCTGATATCCCTGGCTCCAGAATGAAGGTATGATTGTTCTACTAGTGGGTCAAACTGGTAAGTATCGTCTTCACCATGGAGAGAGCTTGTAAAGTAGTGTCGGTGATCGTGGGCAGGAGTGTGTGGTACTGGAGATACTTGTGCTTGTTGTGGCACTGGATGGAAGGTGTGGGCTGGTAGAGAGGCGGGAGGCAGGTGCCAGTGATGGCTGGGAGACAGGTGTTGAGGGCGGGCAGGAGGGATGCTATCTTGCAGGTAGAACATCATGCTCTCATTTTCACCTACACACTGAGAGTTGGCCGTCCCTTGCATGTCTGCACCTATATTCCCTCCTCCCTTATTAACATCACTCAGTCACTCAGTGTCATCACACAACAATCATCATTATCACTGTCTTGAGCAATCACCGCCACACGGCAATATGACATTGCCACCGAGGTAAATACTGCAGTCGTGCTGTGGAAACCAACAATGAAATTCACAATAAACTGCACATATTACATTTGTTACCACAGGGGCACAAAGTATTACAAACGCGCGCGCACGCGCTCATGATCACACCTCAGCCAACAAATGATGATGATGATACTCCAGGTCTAACACACAACTTCACAACTCAAGTTTAAGTATTACGTCCACGACTCAATGTTCAATATGAGACACTGCACGTTCACAAACTCCCACACTCACGTTATATATATATATATATATATATATATATATATATATATATATATATATATATATATATATATATATATATAACATATGTATATGTATATATAATGCTAAGTACACTAGCAAGAAGTGAAGAGAAAAATTGATGTTATGTGGAGTCTGAGTGTACACACAGGTGGTGGAGGTGGTACGACAGTGTGGCAGTGTACACACAGGTGGTACGACAGTGTGGCAGTGTACACACAGGTGGAGGTGGTACGACAGTGTGGCAGTGTACACAGGTGGTGGAGGTGGTACGACAGTGTGGCAGTGTACACACAGGTGGAGGTGGTACGACAGTGTGGCAGTGTACACACAGGTGGTGGAGGTGGTACGACAGCGTGGCAGTGTACACACAGGTGGAGGTGGTACGACAGTGTGGCAGTGTACACAGGTGGAGGTACGACAGTGTGGCAGTGTACAAACAGGTGGTGGAGGAGGTACGACGGTGTGGCAGTGTGCACACAGGTGGTGGAGGCAGGGCAGTGTAGCAGTGTACACACAGGTGGAGGCAGGGCAGTGTAGCAGTGTACACACAGATGGTGGAGGCAAGGCAGTGTGGCAGTGTACACACAGGTGGTGGTGGCAGGGCAGTGTGGCAGTGTACACACAGGTGGTGGTGGCAGGGCAGTGTGGCAATGTACACACAGGTGGTGGAGGCAAGGCAGTGTGGCAATGTACACACAGGTGGTGGAGGCAAGGCAGTGTGGGAATGTACACACAGGTGGTGGAGGCAGGGCAGTGTGACAGTGTACACACAGGTGGTGGTGGCGGCAGGGCAGTGTGGCAGTGTACACACAGGTGGTGGTGGCAGGGCAGTGTGGCAATGTACACACAGGTGGTGGAGGCAGGGCAGTGTACACATAGGTTGTGGAGGCAGGGCAGTGTGGCAGTGTACACACAGATGGTGGTGGCAGGACAGTGTGGCAGTGTACACACAGGTGGTGGAGGCAGGGCAGTGTGGCAGTGTACACACAGGTGGTGGTCGTGGTGGCGGCAGGGCAGTGTGGCAATGTATACACAGTTGGTGGTGGCAGGACAGTGTGGCAGTGTACACACAGTTGGTGGTGGCAGGACAGTGTGGCAGTGTACACACAGGTGGTGGATGCAGGGCAGTATGGTAATGTACACACAGGTGGTGGATGCAGGGCAGTGTGGCAGTGTACACACAGGTGGTGGATGCAGGGCAATGTGGCAGTGTACACACAGGTGGTGGATGCAGGGCAATGTGGCAGTGTACACAAAGGTGGTGGAGGCAGGGCAGTGTGGCAGTGTACACACAGGTGGTGGATGCAGGGCAATGTGGCAGTGTACACACAGATGGTGGTGGCAGGACAGTGTGGCAGTGTACACACTGGTGGTGGAGGCAGGGCAGTGTGGCAGTGTACACACAGGTGGTGGTGGTGGTGGCGGCAGGGCAGTGTGGCAATGTATACACAGTTGGTGGTGGCAGGACTGTGGCAGTGTACACACAGTTGGTGGTGGCAGGACAGTGTGGCAGTGTACACACAGGTGGTGGATGCAGGGCAGTGTGGTAATGTACACACAGGTGGTGGATGCAGGGCAGTGTGGCAGTGTACACACAGGTGGTAGATGCAGGGCAATGTGGCAGTGTACACACAGGTGGTGGATGCAGGGCAATGTGGCAGTGTACACAAAGGTGGTGTTGGAGGGCAGTGTGGCAGTGTACACACAGGTGGTGGATGCAGGGCAATGTGGCAGTGTACACACAGGTGGTGGATGCAGGGCAATGTGGCAGTGTACAGACAGGTGGTGGATGCAGGGCAATGTGGCAATGTACACACAGGTGGTGGTGGCAGGGCAGTGTGGCAGTGTACACACAGGTGGTGGTGCAGGGCAGTGTGGCAGTGTACACACAGGTGGTGGAGGTAGGGCAGTGTGGCAGACAGTGTATACACAGGTGGTGGTGGCAGGGCAGTGTGGCAGTGTACACACAGGTGGTGGTGGCAGGGCAGTGTGGCAGTGTACACACAGGTGGTGGAGGCAGGGCAGTGTGGCAGTGTACACACAGGTGGTGGAGGCAGGGCAGTGTGGCAGTGTACACACAGGTGGTGGAGGCAGGGCAGTGTGGCAGTGTACACACAGGTGGTGGTGGCAGGGCAGTGTGGCAGTGTACACACAGGTGGAGGCAGGGCAGTGTGGCAGTGTACACACAGGTGGTGGAGGGCAGTGTGGCAGTGTACACACAGGTGGTGGAGGGCAGTGTGGCAGTGTACACACAGGTGGTGGTGGCGTGGCAGTGTACACACAGGTGGTGGAGGCAGGGCAGTGTGGCAGTGTACACACAACACGTGCAGCAGGAGGGTGAAGGCGGAAGTGAGCGTCTATAAGGAGACCTCAGCAGGTAATGTAACACAACAGCAGCTGTGGGCACCAGGGGGCGGTGAGGGGTGGGTGTGGACGCCCACCACCCCGGGCGTGGTAGGGTAGGGTAGGGTAGGGTAGGGGGACAAGCTACTAGGGTCCTCTTAACATTTAAGCATACAATATTCACCCTCCCTACATTTCTCACTCTCCACCCACCCACTCTCCTCGTCTTACCTCTTCCTCTTCTATCCGTCTATCCCCTCCCACCTCTGTCTCTGCGCACACGTGCAAGTGTGTGTGTTTTTGTATGTGAATCATAATGTACCTTTTCCGCCTACACTGCAAGGTATACAGTTGAAGAGGGACTTCAAGCGTTCCCATTTGGGCAGATGCTTGACGGAATATATACAGCACTGAAGGTCCTCAATCTGTCCCGACTTGAAGGATCTTATGAAGTAGCAATATTCAAGCCTTGAAGCGAGTCATCACTGGCTTGTCATCTCTTGTTTTGAATGTTCGACTTATCTAACCTATCATTTTCTTCGTAGTAGTGATTGCATCACTTTTTGTAATTCATGACGGTGAGATTACCAATCCTCTGACATTGTAACTCCCAAATCTCTTTCATTAAACTTCAACTCGACTGAATTATTCGAATGCGTCTTGTATTCAGTTTCAGTCTTTAATGCCTCGATTCTTCCATAGCGGAGCAACGGAAACTAGTTGAACACGTAGGTGACTCCCAAGTCACTAGTACTTTATATGTACATTTGATAATGTGAAGATATTATTGTGTGCCAGGTTGTTAGTGTGGTTGATACATGCAGTATGTCTCATGCCGTCGGTTATACTTCGTCCCTGACCTTCCTTCATCATTTAAGGAACTTATTGCGTCTGTTTGGAATGAGCTCGAACTTTATTATAATCATAACTAGGCGCTAAACCCACAAGGGTCATACAGCGTGAGCTCGAACAGCCATTTTTCTCTGAGCACACTTTTAGCTTCTTCCAGTCATCCTCGAGTCTGTTACTATCATCTCAACTTTTTTTTTTTAAGATTTGTTTAATTGACCTGAAAGGGTTATAATCGAAGATAGCTAAAAAAGAAAAGAAAGCCAAACAGAATGGGTTGTTTCCGTTGGGAAGTCGTCAAGGGCCTTGGCAAGGATGCGAGCCACAAGAGTCGACTAACAGATAGGAACTTGTATATTGTTACAATAGTGATAGTAGATGTAGAGGGATTTGTGCTTACGTCTGGCCTCACCATGGGATCAGATCATTTGATCAGTGAGTACAAGCTTGTAGTGGTCCCCCTCATAACACTGGTTCATGTTAATTCTTCCTCTGTCACTCGCTACTCACTCTAGTGTTTACTGGTATATGTCCTACTTCCGTTGTTTATCTGGTTGGTGGAGTAATATCTGGCGGGATAAGGTATTAAATACTTTCCCACAGTCAAGAAAGATGCAGTCTACTCTGTTCTGTAATTCTTATTTTATCTCTGTTAGCTGTTGTAACTTCTTGCTTGTCTCTCAGCACCTGTGTACACACCGATTTGTGATTTAGTCTCAGCTCCTGGCCCCATAGAGTAGCCTTCAATCTGTGTTGTCACTTCTTATCATCTGGACCCTATGGTTGTGTACGGAGCTTGTCTCTACCAGCGCCTCATTCCACTTATTGATCAAGAGATTAAAAAGTTATTTCTTAATGTATCTCCAGTTTTGTTGTTGTTGTTGTTGTAGCTTCTTGGTGTCCCACTGTCCCAGTTCTTAGGATATTATTCTGTTCATGTATATCCTGTGTATCTTGCACGTCGTAACCATGTCTCCCCTGGGTATGCAATCTAAATTTATTTGATTCAGTTCCTTTACCTTTTCTTAATGTTTGTTGCTCAGACCTCAGTAATCTTCTTGTGAAGCTCTCAACTTTCTCGATCTTCTTTATGTTTGATTTCTCTAGTTTAGCTTCCATCTTTACGAGTGTTGCTCTTGCAAGGTGTCTGTCTCGCAGTAGCCGTCTCTATGCAAGACTGTATATGCATGTCTACATGCCTGTCTTCGAGTCTCGTTATTCCTGTCTACACGGTCTACTCGAGGACTTAATCATCTTCACTCCATTTCTCCCTAGCTTCCCTCCCTCATCCGTCCGCGCGCGCCTCCCTGGGCCCCACATTAGCTTTGTGGTGGTGGAGGCACCCCTGGCCCTGCTGGGGACAGTGCCACGGTGCATTATGAGCAGAGTGCCAGAGGCGAGGGGGCAGAGAAAGGTTAACAAATGTGAGGCAAATGCCAACACCTTGACAACCCCGGCTCCTCCATCACCCCCGTCCTCTTCCCCCCCGTCTAATGGTCCTACTGAAGTCTCTCAGCTCAAACTGACACATTTTAACACTACGTATGACTGTCAACCATCTCGTATGGTAAAATATAATTGGGAAAATAGCTAGAGTTTGCTCTTACTATGTATCACATTAAATAAGGTAGCAACACAATGCAGATGTTTCCAAGTTTATTATATTAAAAATGTATCAGCTGATATACGTATATGCTGTTCAATATGAAAATTGAGATGGTGCTATTTGTTTGTTAGAGA